TGTGGCCGTCCGACTGTACATATCTTCCATAGAGGAAGGAGTCACAGAAATGAATGACATAAAAATGGTGACACGTGTATAAAATTGGAACTACCAGGTACAGAGAACTTTATCTGTGCCAGCAAGTTAGTTGACTTCACAGCTGAGTTATGGGGAAGCCAAGGAAGCTTGGATTCAGGGTCCTTCCCTTTCACTGGGTCCCTTGCGAGGCCCTTGGAGAGGCTCTAGCAATTTTATATTTTTTTGAGGAGAGTAATTTTATTGAAGTATGACATTATGTAAGGAGAGTGGACAATTTTGCATTATTCTTCCTGAACAGGAATTCTACCTTCCAACTGACTAAGCTTCCAGTTCCACAAGGCCTGTATCAGCCTCTGCTTGATCTGGCTTCTGGAGAGAAAATCTTTCCCTGCTTCGCCTCTCCCAACCCAACCATGGAAGCAGGTCCTGTTTACCGCAAGCCTCCCTGAGTTCTCAGTGGTTCTGTCATGTGGTTGGCTCTTTGATGAAGACATAAACAATATGACAGTGGTTTCCTGAGGCTGAAATGATGTGTTCAAACTCTCCACATTAAATTTCAGAGGCGTAAATATAAGAAAAAACCTAGCACTTGAGTTATAAGAGAAAAGGTATAGGATAGGGGAAGTTCAGCGAGAGTACCATCTGTGAAGAGGACTCCTGCGGCAGTGGTGCTGATGGGGCTGCTAGACGGCTCTAGAGCCGTGAGAGGTGGGAGAGCCAAGCAGACGCGCTGCATGGGGACCCTCTGTGCTCGGACCACAGCTGGTGCACCACACTGCATTCTGGGAAGCCTGTCTCAAGGTGCCGAGGCATAATAAAGGCAAAATCGCAAAAATAAAATGAATATATGTCAAATATTTTACTTAACTCATTAATTAAAATCCATTTAAAATGAGATTTTTAGCTTACAGCAATTTTCATTCTCTGTCAGACAAGATTCATTTGCATTCCCGTAGTTATTTAACATCAGCATTGTTACCCATTTTCCATAACTTAAACTTGTCTCTACAGATCAGTTACATAGCCAAGCCTACCCAATGCAACCGGAAGTACACCCTATATAATTAGATAATCCCAGAGGGCCTGGTGACAATGCGCTGAGCTCCGGTGAAAAGGCACCGGAAATCACATTGGCCCATTTTCCAATACCCGGACCATTTCCCCTACATGAGGAATATCACCACGGAGAACGTTCAGTGGAGAGGAACCCTGAGAGCAGGAGCTTTTGAAATCATGCCTTATAGGCACAAATGGTGGTACTGGGGATTTTTCAGCCTCACAAAGGGCACATGGTTAATAGTGGTGCAAGTTCTAAAAAACTGAAGCAGTGTCATAAAGCAAAGGGTCACCCTCATTTTGTGTAGTTCTGGCCTCAGAACAGGATAAAGGAAAAAAAAAAAACAAAAGCAAAACAGGAAGTTACAGCAAAGCAGATCTTAATTTAATATATGAAAAACCTGTTCAGAAATGAAAGTGCTGATCTGTGGGTTCCTTGCTATTGAAATATTCAGGAAGAAGTTACAGAATTTTCTATAGGAATTTTGTGGAGTGAGTTTTTATATTTTTCAGAAGTTTGCTCTAGACAGTGCTGTCCTACAGAAATAATGCAACTCATGTAATTTTAAATTTTCTTGTAACCAGATTAACAAAGAACCTGGTTAAATTGATTTTAATAATATACTTTGTTTAACCTGATATACTGAAATAATTATTTCAACATGTTATCAATAGAAAAACATTAATGAAATCTTTTATTTTTTTTCACTAAGTTTCTGAAATCCAGTGTGTATTTTACACCTACCAGCAGGTCTCAGTTTGGATCAGCTACATTTCAAAGGCTTAATAGCGGCATGCAGCTGGTGTTGACATAAGAGACATCTAAATCTGTGAGAATATTTGTAATTTTATTTGGGCCGACCTGATGACAATTACTAGGAGGCAGAATCTCAACAGACTGAGAAAATGCTCTGGGGAATGGCAGTTTTACCACTTATACATCAGAATCAAAGGGCAAGACATAAGGGGGTTACAGCACTCTTTGTTGATAAATTAGGGAGGAGGAGGAAAGCAAAGCTGGAGAAATCTCTGGGATTGGATAAAAAGTGAAATGGACACACACATACTTGTCTCACACTGGTGGGTACAGGGTAGTTAACATTTATAGCACATAAAGATGCTAAATGGGAGAACAAGATAAAATGAGGGGTTCTGTGGTCTTGTGCTCTGGTGGAAGATTGTACCCTGAGGGGTCTGGAAAAAGGGGATAACATGACATTCCAAAGGCATGTTATCTTAGATGCAAAAAGACAATAGACAGGCTCAGTTAGGGTGAGGATCCGCATTTGTAAGGAAGATATTGGCCTAGGACATGACTACTCACTGTGATTTGCTTTTCGTTAAGACGTTCTAATTTCAGACCATCCTATGTGGTTATTTGAGTTTATAGGATCCACCATGCAGGCCTCCCCTGAGCTTGTCAGGTTTAATATGTGGCCCAGTTTTCACCCACATCAGTAATTATTTTCTTGACTAGCATAGGTCTAGACTACTGGTTCTCAGACTTTGGCATGCAGGACTTGTTAAAATGTGATTGCTGGGCTCCAGCCCCCAGGTCTCTGATTCAGTGAGGCTGGGGTGGATCAGCATTACTAACAGATTCCCAGGTGAGGCTGATACTGCAGTTTGAGGAAACATTTTTTTTTAAAGATTTTACCTAATTATTTTTAGAGAGGGAAGGGAGGGAGATAGAGAGAGAGAGAGAGAGAGAGAGAGAGAGAGAGAAACATCAATGTGCGGTTGCTGGGGGTCATGGCCCGCAACTCAAGCATGTACCCTGACTGGGAATCGAACCTGTGACACTTTGGTTCTCAGACTGCGCTCAATCCACTGAGCTACACCAGCCAGGGCTTGAGGAAACATTTTAAAACCACTGGTTTGGACAAACCTAAGATTATTTCACAGAAGACAATAAATGCTTCTGACAATGAGTATAGATTTAGGACATTTGTCTTTTATTTTTGTGCGATGATGTTTTTGTTTTAGTGAAACCGAGACTTTCTGTGTTGACTCCAAATGCTTGTGACTTTCTCAGTCTTTATTGAAAATTTCCTCTGTTATATCATCTCATTCTTGAGCACCTAATGTTTTATGTTTGACTTTCAACAGAGGCATTTTTACAGGTTTCCCCGAGAGTATACAAACATTAACATAAGAATAAGTAAAAGGTGGAGTTTAAGGTTGTTGTAGTATAAAGGGCATTCAGTGATGGGATATGATTTCCCAACGTGTTAGACCTCGGAGGCATACATTTTTTCATGTTTTTTTTTTTTTTTGTAACATATCCTTTGGCTACTGAATTCATAAATTTATCTAAATTTCTTGAAGTTGAATTTTTCAGACTATCATGATTTTTGAAGCTTATTAATAGTATAAAGTAGGCCTTTTTATTTTTCCTAAAATTATATCTTTTCATCTCCAAGAGGAGCTTTCTTAATTTTATGATTCCAGAATTTAGCAAACACATCTGGACTGAACTTACTGACATCACATTATTTCCTAATTACCATGTGTTTAGATATCTCTTTGGAAACTTTAGTTTGGGTCTTACCCACTGGTGCTTATCCATTGGCTATACCATCTATATCCCTAAGAAATTCCCTTTTCAACATATGCTATCAAAACCCACATTTGCTCACGAGTATTTTGGTTTGGCCCTTTAAAAACCATCAGTTAGTACCAAAGCAGTTATGAAAAGAAAAAGGGGCAGAGGGGTGGGGAAGAAGAATTACATTTCAGTGTATTGGAAAAGGAGACTGGTCTAGATATTCTTGGAAGCCAGGAAGACAAAAGTTTCTTCTCAGTAGATACAAAGAAACACAGACCTTTATTTTCATGTAACAAGAAACAAATGTTTCTTTCCTTCCCAAGAAGTTCTGGAATACAGTGGGGGCCATTTCCTCACAACCATCACAAAAGCACAAGGTTTCCATCAATCCCCAATATAAATAGGCCAGGGTGTGCTTGCTAGTCAGCAACACCAGGCTCCCATCAAGCTTCTTGCAGAATTTTTAAAATTATGATTCTTGGCTGTCACCCTCTCCCACAGCTTAGAACCACTGCTATCAAGTCATTCTTCTGAAGGTCAAGTTGACTTGGGGCCATTATTTTAGTTTTTCACGGGAGTATAGTCATTGCTTTCTGAAATCCTGAAGGTCCACAAGGATGCTCTCTCAGAATCGTGTTGATAATTTAGAATTTTCAGATGACTGTTCCCAGTACCTTTTGTTCATGTTCCTTTTACAGTGAGAGATTCCTTTTCTGGGTCACAAAATGAGCTAGGATTTTTTATTTGTTGCAGACACAATATACTAACATTATTAAGTTTTGCTCACTTGGGATAACGGTAAGAATTAGTCTAGATCAGAAGACTTTTCTTTACAGCAGGATAAGACTCAGCTTGGTACATGTTAGTAAAACACCAGGCTGTTAGAAGAACGGGTACTGAAATTATAGAGTACCTGTTAGAAGGGTTTGGGTTTCTCATTGCGTTAATATCTAGTATAGCTTCACCTTACAAGAGAACTCTTATGGAGCCCCTGCTAAAAGACTCCATGAAGAAAGTGTGTTGTCAGAGAGAAACTTGGAAACCCAGGGAGCATTAGAAAAGAGAAGCTGTGAGAGTTCAGGGTTGGAAATTTCTAGATGGAGAGAAATGTTGAAAGTCAATGAAGAGTGAGAAGAATGTCAAGCATCAAAAAAAGATTTTAAACTTTGTCCTAGTCTTGGCTTTCCCTGAACTTGAGGTGTAAACTTAGGGAATCACATGACTTTTCTAGACTTTGCCTTTAAAATTAAGTAATCTGCCCTGACTGGTGTGGCTCAGTGGATTGAGCACTGGCCTGTGAACCGAAAGGTCGCTGGTTCAACTCCCAGTCAGGGCACATGCCTGGATTGCCAGCCAGGTTCTCAGTTGGGGGCGTGCAAGAGGCAACCAATCAATGTGTCTCTCACACATTGATGTTTCTTTCCCTCTCTTTTTCTCTCCTTCACCTTTCTCTAAAAATAAATAAATAAAATCTTTAAAAAAATAAAATAAAATTAAGGAATCTTCCAGATCTCTTCAGTCCGAAAAAGCCATGAAAGACATTTGAAATGGGCACCATTTTCTGGGTCCATCTGGTGTTTCTCGCAGACGTGAGTGGCACAAGCAAACAGGAAAGTCTGCACTCAGAGTATTTCCTAACATATCGACTGAATGGGAACAAATTTGCATGTCCAAAACAAGCATTCTAGTAGAACTGGCTTTCTAGTTGAAGTACATTATCTATATTAACTTATTTAATCTTCCCACACTCCTTTTGGTTTGTTACAATTATTGTTCTCATTTTATTGGGAGGAAATGAGGTTCAGTAACTTGATCAGGATCAAAATTAAACAACAAAACCATTATACTATATTTTCTTTCAACATAGCATATTATCTTATTGATAATGCATTTAATTGGTTTTTCATGAGACTTTTGAAGACTACTTTAAATAATTCTTAATATTTGATAATTATTGTCTTGCTTCCATGTCTCCCATTGGAGTTTTAGTCTATTTCTCTATTATCTCTTTTGTCGAGATGGGGAATATCAAGCTATGACGTTGTATGTTACCACATTTTAAATAATTAAGGCCCAGATGAAACTAGTGTGGTTAGTCTTGTTTATTGGATAGTGTTACTCCGCACCAAGCTAGACTTTCTCTTCCATCACTGGCAATGACGCTAACAGTAATACTTAGTGAAACCTAATCACTGGGGTTCTGATCGTAATGCAAACATGCTGTTCTCCATTAGTGTTAAAGATGTTGATGGCTTTGTGTATTTCATTAGTGTCTCTGGTTCCTCCTCATTACACAAACTCTTTATGAAATAGAAACATTTAATATAGAACATCTTGTGTGCTTTCTATTTTTGAGCAGTAGCATCTTAGATTGCTAAATAGGCACTTAATTCATACCCCATTGAGAGTTGGTTGCCAATGTTAAAGGATGAATAAGTAATGGGCTTGTTGGTACAATGGTGGCTGAAACCCGACTTGGAGGTGAGGAAGGGTTACGGAATGAACGTTGGCTGTAGAGCTGCGTAGACCTGGTTCTAAGTTTAAGTTTCCCATTTTCAGCTGTGTGATCATGGGCAAAGCACTTAATTTTCCAAATTTCGGTTGCTTCATCTATAAAACTATACCTTTTGTCAAATTATTGTGAATTGAGCGAAATCACATTACACACATTACACATAATAGATGGTTAGTAAATCACCAGCCAGTGACAGAAGACTTTGTAATCCATCAAGATATTAAATCATAATGCAGGAGGTCGAGTCCGGGGATCTTGACTGCTCATTTGGATTAGCTGAAAAAACCACAAAGAGGACTGCAAGGAGCAGACACAGCCTGTATTACTCACATTACTGGGAGCACCAACTGTGGCAGATCGGTGAAGTGGGACTCCGAGTCCGAGACTTGTTTTACAGGGTCCCAGGCCAAGGGGCCATATGTCTTGAGTGTGACTCTAAACTACACGATCTCAGTGTGTATGTGCAGAAAGAAGCAGTCACAGGACAAGAAGCAGCTTCTGAAAGGAGATAAGGAGGGAATTACAACCCATTTCCAAAGCAGTACACATTCCATCTGGCCAGGGCCCTTTGGCCAGCCTTCCATTACCGGTGTTGGAAGAGCAATAGCCAGCATGACCCTACACAGATTTTGGCTTGTTAGTCTGAGGTTGAAGGTAAGCGGTGGACTGGGAGTGGCATCCAAGCTAGAGAATAGACTGGAACAAACCACCCAGAAGGACCTAGAGGGGGAGGTCAGACCTGCAGAAAACAGAATGGGCTAAGGCCTGGATGCAGAGTAGGGTTGGTTTAGGAGCAAATTTCATCAACATGGGATTCCCTTTTCTGTATGTAAGCAGACTCTTAAAATTATACACAATGTACAACACAAAGAGTGAGCCCAATGTAAACTATGGACTTTAGTTAATAATGTATCATTATTATTGGCTCATCAGTTACAACAAACGTACTATACTGATGCCAGATGTTAATAGGGAAAGCTGAGCTCAGGGGAGGGTGTATGGTAACTGTTGGTTCTTTCCGCTCAATTTTCCTGCAACAAAAACTCTGCAAAGAGTCTATTAAGCAAAAAAAAGTTTCAGTTATTGCATGTCTCTTTTTCCAACTTCGATGCCTTTCCCTTTCCCTTTTTGACCTTTCTGATCCCAGCTGCCAAGGCCAGTCCAGCATGTCTCCCAGTTTGCCCAGAGGAAGGATGCAGTGTGGCTGGATGGAAGTGTGCATTTGAGTTGGTGTTTGGTTCCTAACAGTGTTCCTACAACCCACATTCTGGTGATAGAGATGGAGCACATGTACTGAGTTCACCAGCTCTGAAGGCAGAAAGTCTGGTGGTTCAGAGCTCGGGTTCTGCAAAGAGCAGACCTCAGGACACTCACCACTCTGTGGCCATGGATGAGTATGAGCCTGTGTGTTCTCCTCTGAAGATGGGATGATGTTACTGAGGCTATTATGAGAATTGAAGGAAATAATCTATGGGAAGTGCTTGCAGAGGATCTGGTGCTTAATAAGTGTGTGTTTCTGTCATCTATGCTTTATAATAAATCATTCCAAACCGCAGTGGCTTATAGCAATGAATTATGATTTCTCATGATTCTCTGGGCCAGGAATTCAGGCAGGACTGTGGGCCATTTTCCTGCTGCAGATACCGCCAGCTGGGGTCACTCGCTTGGCTACATTCAGCTGGCGATTAAGCTGGGCTGGAAGGTCGTGGAGGGCTTTCCCTGCACATCTGTGCCTCTGTGTCCCTCCGTGCGTCACCATGCAGACAGTTTGGGCTTCCTCACAGCATGGCGGACTCAGGGTAGCCGAGTTTTTCACATGGGGACTGGTTTCCAAAAGAAAAAGAGGAGTGGGTGAGCCCTCTTAAAAATAAAGCCCAGAATTGGCACAGGGTCACTCTATCACAGTCTATGAGACAAAGCAAGCCACAAAACCAGCCCTGGTGAAGTCCAGGAGAAACAGCCGCCCCCTCGGCGGGAAGAGCAGTGTGTACCCACAGGAGGGCAGGGGTTACGGCAGCTGTCTTTGGAGAAAATCTCAGTGTTTGGACCGTTACTTTCTCATGAATTGCTTTGCCATCGTGCAGAACAGGCCTTCCTCCTGTAGGCAGAGTGAGGTGTCCCTGTTGCTGTGGGAACTGAAGTACTGGTATGGCCAAAGGGCCATTCTAATTTGGCCACTGCATCTTCTCTTAATGTCAAAAAGGGTTTAATACCCTTTTTAGAATTTAGAATTGTTTTTAGGATTGTTCTGTCAACAGTATGTGTTCATCTAAGCATATCATTTATCTTATGTTTTATGTCATGAGATTATTCTGAATCATGTCTTAAAAAATCTCTAAAACACACATAGATGTACTATTTAAATGCATCACTTTGCACTTTATTTACACCATGCAAAAACTATTCACACCATAAAAAAGAAAATAATCTTGATCAAAAAGTGAACCCACACTGGCTTCTGTATTTGAGTTTTTGTTGTTTTTACTTTTAATTGACATTTTCTTACCTTCTCTCCTCCTTCCTTTTGTGGGCAAAGGAACACTTACTTATCCTATAAAACCCAGCTTCGCCTATAAAGCCCCTATTGACACACCTGCCACCAAGTATGTTCTGTTACTCCCTTCTTTATGGCCCCAGTGTGCCCTGAAAGCCTCTGCTTCAGTGGTCAGGACTTCTGCTGCACTAATACTCGTAATGGCTAGTCAGATCACTGTACGCCTTGTGGCACAGGGAAATGGGCTCCTCAGTGCCTCCTGTGTGCTAGCTGGGGGGATACAGAGAGGAATAAGGTGAACCCTGTGCTCTTGGGAGCTCATTGTTTATTGGAGAAGGTGGTTATAAAATACACCCTTAAAACACAATGCTAATTTCAGGGCTAGAGATCTGTACTGAGTATTAGGGAAGCACTTTAAACCACTTGAGTAGATTTGTACATGCTAGGAAGGTGCCCCAGAGAAGGTAGATTATGGAGTCATCAATATAGTGATCTCCAACATGCCAAGTTCACCTGCTGTCATTTTGGTGCTGAAGTAGGTATAGGGCTCCAGGCATAATTGGTGTGACCTCAGAGACATGAAGAGAGCTATGGCCCCCATCTGCTTAGAGGAGACAGGGATTTTCCATAGGTAAGGGTTTTCTCACTGAGTGGTAAGGTTGTGAGGATACTCATTGGAGCCAGGGCTTCTAAGAAATTTGCAAGGTGTTGATAAGTGTCCTGTTTTAGACTGTTTAGTTTTCTTGCAGGCCAGAGAGGTACTTTTACTTTGAAGAAAAAGACATGCAAAAAATTATTTGAACAAATAAAAATTACCCTTGAACTCACCTTTACCTGGTGGGCTCCTGTAACAGTCAGCTTTTGGTAGGCTTTGCTGCTGTAACAGATGACTCCCAAATGTCAGTGGCATATAAAACAAAGGTTTATTTCTCACATTACATGTTGACTTCCACTTGCCTGTGCTCTGATCTGTGGGTGGGTTTTCTTCATTTTAGGATCCAGATGGAGGGAACAGTGCCTTTCTTGAACTGCGTAATTTGGGGGCAGAGAAACAACAATAATGTGGAACCGCATGATAACTACTAGAGCTTCTTTTAGAAAGTGGTGCCTGCAATGCCGCCCAAATTTAATTCATCAAAACAGTGAGGTATAATCTCACAGAGAGGGGCCGTGAATGACAGAAAGAATGCAATTTGCCTGAGCTACACTGTACCCTAAAAATAAAAGCCAATGGTTCTGAAGACAAAAGACCAAGAAGAGTAGGCTTATAACACAACTTTAAGTAAGCAAAATAATGAGATTAATCAGTTGAGGAAATAAATGTGAAGGAATCAGAGCCTCTTGCCTTGTAAATAAAATATTGAAACCTGTAGAAACCAAAATGTATAAAATGAGGAAAAATTTTATGTCCTTACTGAAAAAACAAACACCAGACTAACAAACTGAACAACCGGAGAAGTTTCCGACCTCAGGCCAGAGCCCCACGAAGCCCCCATGTTTTGAGTAGTCTGGATTGGTTTCGGCAGCTCACAGAAGGTACTCAGGGGAGAGAATTGCTCTTCAACAGGCATTGCCAATATTCGGCACCATGGCCCATGCCTGGAGTGCTATTCACTCACTCACTCACTGTCTCCCAAGTCCCATTTATTTATCCTTTTTTTAAAAGATTTTATTTATTTACTTTTAGAGAGGGAAGGGAGGGAGATAGAGAGAGAGAGAAACATCAATGTGTGGTTACTGGGGGTCATGGCCTGCAACCCAGGCATGTACCCTAACTGGGAATTGAACCTGCGACACTTTGGTTCGCAGCCCGCGCTCAATCCACTGAGCTACGTCAGCCAGGGCTTATTTATCCTTTTTTGTTTGCCTCAAATGACATTTTTCCAGGATCCCTTCCTGGATTGTTTCCATGTATGTGAGTTGCATCTTCCTTAGATGTAATGGTACTTACATCTCTGTTTAATATATTGCCTTTATTATCATTAATTATTTATCTTCCTCCCCCTGCCACCAAGAGAACTGTGCATTCCTTGAAGGCAGAAAAAAAGGTTTGATTCATTTTGGGGTCTCTTAGAGTGCCTACTGCAGAGCACTGCATATGAAGGGACGTCATTCATTGTGGTTGAAGTTCAGATTTATAGCCTGGTTAGACGTCATTTGACATGCATGTGTTAGTTCTATCCTTGAGGTTTTTCCAGAGTGTTAGGTGCACACAAGAAGGAAATTCTTGTTTAAGACAGTTCTAGGGCCAAACCTTGCCACTACAATAAGAAAGCTCGGTAAGAGAGCAAACGGGTGAGAGAAGATTGGGAAGAGAGGGTTGTGTAGGTACTGGGTGCTGGACGCAATCTCATCTCTTTGTTCCTTTGACATCTAGATAGGCTTGTCCCCTTTAGGTATTTCTATTTATACTCTTAGTATCAAATACTAATTAGCTATATAGGTCTTAGTTATAATGAGTTGTGCTACTATGTTGTTTGACCTCCATTATGCAAATAATAACAATGAATAATATAAAGTTAATTTAAAGAATCAAATATGGTATTAGGTTAAGCTGCATTAAAATTATATAGAAGGATATGTGGAATACTTATGTTCAAATATAGAGCATGAGTATTTTTAGATTCTTAGATATTAGATTTAGGTGTTCTTGTTCTATTTTGTAAATCAAAGAATTGCCCTATATATTTGATCTGTGTGTTTAGGTTTTATGGTGGCAGATACCTTATAATAACTAGAAATAGAAATTCCATCTTTAGTGATAATATAGTACAGAAACCAGAGAAGGTCTTAAGGTGCTGTTAATTAGCAGAAATCTGAAGCACACAGTCTCAAAGCAATTAAGGCTGTTAATTGAATATTTGGATGCACTGTGGAATGGCTCATATGTTTCAGACAGGGTACCCTAGGCTTGAGAAGAGTGATGTTATACACATGATGTTGAAGAATTCAGAAAGAATATGAATAAACATGTTTGTCTAGTAGCTAACTGCATTTATGAACAGTGATTCATTATTGGCTATATGCAAAATTACCTGTTAGCTGAAAAATGGAATATTAACAATTCAGTCTTTCAGGCTATCTGCTGTAAATGTGGTACACCATTTACCCATGGCAAATGAGGTTTTTTCACCATGGTGATTTTGCTGTCCTCTGGTTTGGTAAACATCTCTGTAATTCATGAGATACTTTAAATGGAATTAGTGGTCACACAATGGCTGCGATGCAGCATCTGTGTCCATCAGGGGGCAGAGAGAAGCGAACACTGCTGATGGGCTCTGGGTGGCAAAAAGGTTTTACCGTGGAGCCTCCAGAGGGTCCCTTAGCTGCGGCACACGATCAATGCATGAACATATTTTTAAAAGAAAGTTTATAAAACTTCCAAGATTCTGAAGAAGTTTTCATGAAAGGGTAAAGAAATGAGATATTCCTTTTAGAAGAACTTCAGAGGAAAGTAGTTAACATTTGGAGTAGTGTTTCTTGTTTTTAATAGCTATAGCTTCAGGATAGAATTTTGCTTCTGTCCAACTCAGGCTCACCAATGTGCAGAGGAGAGAGCCTATTCACAAAAGAACGTCCACAAGGTAGTGAGTGAAGAATGAATCTAGTTTCTCTCAGACTGAATCGTGGACTTTCTGGTGTTGTGTTAAGGAGAAAGAAATTATTCGAGTTACATGAAATCACGTTGACCAATAGTTTTCACCCATTTTGGGGAACATTCTAGAAAGTGGCTGATTGATTGAATTTTTCCTCCTTTCAGTCCCAATCCATTTTCTGGAGAAATTTCCAATGGACTGTGAAGTGGATTTTTTAAAAAAGAGGAGGGCTGAGCAGGCAGTGGACAACAGAACCCCAAATTCCCAAAGTGGGCATCTCTGGCCTTACATGAGGAATGAAGCATCCTAAGGATGGTGTGATTTAGGAAACCACTGTTCAAACTGCTAGCAGACATTTTAGTGAGTGCACAGAGCACATAAAAACAAATTTACTGAAGGTCCAAATCTGAGCTGATTATATACAGATTCCTTCTAACAGCACGTTCTAAAACTGTGGTGTTAATCTGCTCAGGGGTTATGGACTAAAGCTTTCAAAGGCGTCGGAACAGAGGGCTGAACTCACTGACAGTGGACTGGGAAGCATACTTACAAGGTAACAACTCCACCTCCTTGGATCAGGAAAGTTCCTGTTTCTTACGCAATGTGTGCACTTCATTATTTACACGATTTCATTAGGCGGTCAGGAGGTGTGTACACTGCTAGCTGCCTCTGCAGCGGGCACCCCAGGGTCTGAAATGGAAAACAAATGCTCTTTATTACCTTTCACTACTCCTGCCTTTGAAATATTTTTCTTTAATGGACAAATGTCCTTAAATTATATTTACCTCTCTTGATTAAAACATTTTTTTCTTAAATGTTTTTAGGAACTACAAGTTTCTTGGAAGTTTTTCCATACTTGTTTCCACTGTGCTGCAAGGGCGAATTAGAAAGTAAATACTGAGAAATAAAGATTCAGAGTGGGGAAACAATCTTTAGTTTGTTATGGGGTCTCGCAGCCCTCTCTTTTCCCCTACCTTAGGCAATCCGTCTTTCTTCTCCCCGACCCTCTTTCTCGGTTTTTGGTGTTTCCCGGAGTTAGGATGAACACGAGTGAGAGCAGAAAGGCCCTGGCCTACGCTCTGCACCCCGCAGTCCTGAGGACAGACCCTGGGTGAGGAGGACTCACCAGGTTCGGGACACAGGCGCGGCCGGAGCAAGGGCACCCGCAGCGGGGTGGGGGGCCGACCCAAGGGCTTCCGCGGGTTCTGCGCGGTAGCCCCAGGGCTCTTTCCTGCGCTCCCTCCCCGGGTCCTTGGGCAACTGAGCCAAGGGGGCGGATCCTGAAGTGCCGGACACGCCCCAGACGGGTTTATAATTCGCCTTCTCGCTCCTAGAGCTGCTGCTTCTCCAGTGCTCCGCTCGGACTTGGGACGCCCTCCGCTTGCCGGCCGCCCCAGAACTCGGGACCCCACGCCCGCCCGCTCGCGCTCACACTCACACTCACACACGCAGCCACACCTTCATTGCCTTTCACCGCGCGCGCGCTCACACCTATTCACGTGCGCTCACACTCGCACACGCTGTCACACTCCCTCGTGCACTCACGGGCGCACTTTCACCCTCTCACACTCACACGCTCACACCCCAGCTCAGGCCCGCTTACTCTGCAGGGGCCCAGGCCCCGTCGGCAACAGCGCTGAGAGGACACACACGGCTTCTCCATGGCCGATCTGAGCTTCATCGAAGATTCCGTTGCCTTCCCGGAGAAGGAGGAGGATGAGGAGGAAGAGGAAGAGGGTGTGGAGTGGGGCTACGAAGAAGGTAACCCGCCGCATATTGAGGTGGCTGGGTTCCCAGGACCGCGCGTGGGAGGCTGCGCGCCGCGTGTGTTTTGCCCCGCGCTGGGTTCTGCATACTTCTCCTTGGTGCTCCGAGCACCTCTGCGTCCCCTCCTTCCCACGTGGGTTTCTGCCACTTTCCCATTCCCGTGGCCTGTCTCGGGGCAGAAGGCACAGAGGGAGAGCGGGCGGGCCTGTCACCTGCATTCGGGTTGGGGAACCTGGCCTTCCTGCCCGGCAGCTGTTGGCACCTGCCTTCGTCCGGAGGGCGAGCCTTAAAGCTGCAGCCGTGACTGCCTTGCCTCTGGAACAACTGAGAGGTGCAGCTTCCCCGTTACTCAGCACCTTGAGAAAACAGTGTTAGTGAAACTATTCGTTTCTTGCTTGCTGTGAGGACCCTGGTGCGAGAAAGTATTCTGCCTCTACTCTGTTCCTGAAGGACACGACTACAGCTAATTCTTTCCAGACATGTCCTAAATTTCAGGCTGGATCAGTGGGCTTGGCGAGAAAGGGTTGACTTTTTAAAAAAAAGTTTAGGTTCCTGAATTTATCCCTAAAAATGTAGGTCTGTTAAAATAGCCAGCCACTCGTGCTGATGTTGACTACATCTATGAAAAAAAAAAGAATTTATCATTTTAATTATAAAAATACGGGAAGGATATATATGTATGAATATGTAGGTAGGCATGTGTACATGTATATATGCACACTTCAAAATACTGTATTTGCATTTCTAATAAGATGTTTATTCACTAGCATCAGATTTATGGTTTGGAGCTCTCACTAAGCATGTTGAGAGTTACAGGTATTTCCCAAGTACTACACATAATTGAACTGATGAGCAGAGGAAATTTGTGTGGTATTATTTTTGCTAATCACTTAAAGATGACCTAAATTTTTTAGTCGTAAATTATTACATTTCTGTGGACAAATACAAACAGAACGTTATGTGAACTCAAGGTTTTGTGTGTAGTATTTGATACTATATCATTCAAAATATAAACCCAAAGATTCACACACATTTACCACATTTCATCCTACAGAGACAGTAGTCATAACCCACTTAAATGTCAAGGATTAGAAACTGTTTAAACTAGTTTTAACATGTTAAATTTCACTGTAACTTTTTTAAAACCAATATAAATGTGCTTCATTTTGTCCTTAGGTGTTGAGTGGGGCTTGGTGTTTCCTGACGCTAATGGGGAATACCAGTCTCCCATCAACCTGAACTCCAGAGAAGCTAGATATGACCCCTCACTGCTGGATGTCCGCCTCTCGCCGAATTATGTGGTCTGTCGGGACTGTGAAGTCACCAATGATGGACACACCATTCAGGTTATCCTGAAGTCAAAATCAGGTATTTTAGAAGATGCTTTGCATGCTCTTGTAAACTTGAAGTTATCTTTGGAGCTATTAAACTCTTATTTAGCTTTTATGATCTTAAAGGTAGAACTAACATAGCTCCATGGTCAAATACCTTTATGTATTATAAAGTGCACTTCTAGGAATTGTTTTCTGAAACACTTTTGAAAGAGTAAAAGGATGAAATGATGAAGATGTCAGTCTGGTGTTACTCTAACAACCTTAGGTGGGCCACTTACACCTTGTGGAATTTGTGGAAAGGTGTATGCAGGTGTACAAATGTGAATTTTGTCCTAAATTGTTGACTAGCTTAAATCATTTAGATAATGATAATTCTTTGTTTTATTGCATTGTAAAACTGCAAATTAAAATTTATTGACATTATCTGGTGTTCCAGCGAGACTTTTTCTTTTTTTCTTTTTTTTAATCATTGTTCAAGTACAGTTTTCTCCCTTTTACTCCCAATCCAGCCCACAGACTTTTTCAAATTCACTTTTTCCACTAAGTTAATGACAACTAAGTAATGATTTAAATAACAATCCTCTATTAGTCCTCTAACTAATGGAGAGACTTTAACTAATAGCAATAAAAAATATCCTTTAAACTCAGCAAAAGATTTAAATAGCAAACAAAGCTCTTTCTTCTTATTTATTTTTTAAACCCCCCTTCTCTCCATCTGAACCTATATGAGATGGATCTGAAATGTTTTACAGAAAAGGTGTTAAGCAATTACCAAGGAAATTGGTTTTCAGCTTAAATGTAGTGGAAAGGACAGCAGAATTCTAAAAATTAGCATTAATATTATGCTATTCATGGTGAATAATGACTATTATTTCCCTCTTAGGAAAAGTGTAAAATTAAATGTGTTTAAATAATAGGAAGTGCTTCATAGAGACCAACTGTGCTCAAATTAATTCTGGATCAGTAAGTTTGATATTTTAAAACATGAAATCTGGTTAATTATTAGGCTGGGCAGATATTGATGACCAATTATGGATTTTTTATTCATTGTGAATGTCCCTAGCTTTAATTTAGAATCTGTGAGATAGTCGTAGGTTCGTGTAGTCTTCCCTGCTGTTCTGAGGTCAAAGTATGAGCACCGCCAGGAACAGACCATAGGCTGTATCCATACTTAGAGAGACAGCTTCAGATGTGAATTTGAATTTAAATCAGACTAGTTGAGGTAGAGGAGTTAATCTTTGATGGGGCGATATGTATTATTAAAAAATGTATAGTAAAATTACTGAATACTGACTTCTGGTCTATAAAAACATTTTAAGGTACTGTGTGTGTGGGTTGACATGCTTCTGTACTTTAGGGAATACAATATTTCTCCATCTACTGGATGACAGGCATGATTGAGGCTCAGTGTTCTTTGTATACAAATGGACAAGATGGTTCTCGAGGAGTCATTGAACTGTGTCCTGTAGAGTATTAATGTTGGTATGCTGATGGGAAGTGTTAGAAAACTTTATGGGAATGTAGAAGAATGACTAAGTACAAATACTGTCTATTAAGACAGTGTGTATCCGTCCTACTCCAAGATCAAATTTACTTGATGTAATTGAAATAAACTTTTTCTTCTGGTAAGTTCTCAAACACTTTCCTTGGCCTCCTACTCACCCTCAAAAGAGACTGTGAAGCACTGTCTTGGTCCTTTAACCACAGGTATGTTTTTTCCTCACGTACCTTTGTTTGCCAGTTGGTTCTCCTTCTTCCTCTACCTCTCATCACTGAAAAAGAGCTGTCTGTCTGTCTCTCTGTCCATCTAGGCCTATTTTGGATACACATGCCCCAGACCCTTTACTCCTATCTTCTCAGAGAGAACTTGTTTCTTCAGATGCCCCTATCTCCTTTCTGCCACTATAATAATTTCTTCTCAGTGTTTCTCCAAACTTAAAATTTCTACATCTGGACAAGTTTATTTATTTTTTTCTAGGCTATTTAAGCTTCTCAAAGGAATAGTCTACAAGCCCTGAACACCTTGACATTCATTTTTTTAGTTCAAGTTTTATCTTTATCAAAATAGAATATAAATATAATTCAAATAGTTGACTAGTACTGTATTTCTCTCTCCCTCTGGGCTATACCCCTCTCCTCCCACCTAAAACGTTCTGTCCTGGTGACAGTCACTTCCAGCACTTAGCTGTTTCTCCTGTGCCATTCTTCTTAATAACATGTGTACACTGTCCTGCTTTGATATTTAAGATACCTGTGAACTCCCTGCTCTGGAAGATGAAACTAATTCTCTTATCACCCTTCCACACTGTGATTTTGCTCCCCTTTGTTCCTGTACTTATATTATAATTTTTATTTAAATCAATAGTGTTTTTATTATGTTGATTATGTAACTACTATTTCTGGCTGAGATTATGTCTATTTCCTTTATTGACTATGTTTTTTTCCCTAGACTTAATGTATTTTTGTTTCTTTAGCTTTTAAATTTATCTTTCATGATTTCATTTTCAAACTTTCTGACATATGGCAGATCTTCTTCCAGGACATTGAAACGTATTAAATTATCCTTCCTTCCCTCTCATCCGTTCTTCCTCCTGTCCCTGGCAGCCTCCCTTCCATGTATCCCTGCCCTGGTCTGGTCCACTGGCTTCTTAGGCCTGCCGTGCAGCCATTCCTGCAGCTCCCTGGAACCCGAGCCCAGAAGTCCCTTTGCCTGTCTCCCTTGTGCAATCCTATATTTTCTGGATGCTGTGACATTCTCTTGTGGGGTTGTTCGTCATTTCAGGGACTTTCTGGGTCTATCTCCTTCTACAATTCATCAGCTCGTAACCTCCTGAGAAAGGGCATGTGAGGGTAAAGTTGGGTTACTTTGCAAGTTTGCGTGTGTCTCCCTTGACTGTTTGCCTCGGCAAAGCAGCCCGGGCTGGAAGAACCCGCTTTGGCATTTGATGTCACTGCTTCATTACCTTCTGCCCTCCAGTGTTTTGGTGGAAAGATTTAGTGCCATCCGGCTTGTCAGCCCTTCCGTGTGACCTCTTTCTCTCTCTAGGAGCTTTTATAATCTCCTCTTTATTGCTATTGCTTTGAGATTTTATAGCCATATGCTTTGGTGTGGTTCTTTTTCACTCTCTGTGTTGGGTACCAGGTGGACCGTTTCAATCAGAATTTCTCAGAAATGTCTCGGAAATTTTGTTATGTGATTTCGTTGAAAATTTTTCTGTTTTTCCTTTCTATCTTCTTTTAATAACTCTTATTTTTCTTTGTTTTTTTCTACTTTCTTTAGATATCCTCAACTAATATCTTTCAGATTTTCTACTGAATTTTTAACTAATGCTAGCTGTTTTCAATTTTTAAAAAGTTGTGCTTATTCTATAAATTGTTTTACTTTCCAACATCCAGTATCCAGCATTTATTTCATGAATGCAGAATGTCTCCATTCTTTTCTGTATGGCTTCTTTCTTTTCTCTTCATGTGTCTGTTTATTCTGGGGTCCGTCTATTTATTTTGCTCACTTTTATTATTGGAGGTTTTCCTCAAATGCCCAGTGATCTTCGGTTCATTGTTCCTCTTCAGGAATGGGTCCAAAAAGTGGATTGGAAGCCCTGTGCATCTGGGCGGGACTATGGTCTGGATGTCACGGTTAGGTGATTAGGCAAGGGCTGGCCCTATTGTTGGAGGAGGCTTTGTAGGTTTGATCTGGGGAGGGCTTGTGTGGCTGGTGGCTGGCTGTCAGCAGCTGGTTTCTGACCTCGGGTGAGAGAGTGGAACCACAGTGGCACATTTGTTACGGTTGGTGAACCTGCACCGACACATCCTCATTGGCTCCAGTCCATAGTTTACCTTAGGGTTCACCTCCATGTTGCACATGCTGTGGGTTTGAACAGATATTGTGTAAGACCGTGTTTCCATTGCTATGGTATGAGGCAGACCAGTCTCACTGCCCTAAAATTCTTTGTTCTCTGCCTGTTCCTCCCTCCCTCTCCCCACCCACCGGCAACCACAGATCTTTTTACCGGCTCCATACTTTTACCTTTTCCAGAATGTTATATAGTTGGAATTATACATTATGTAGTCTTTTCAGTTTGGCTTCTTTCACTTAGTAACATACATTTATTGGATGCTGTCTTTTTAAATAAAAAACTCATAGAATAAGCAGATTTTTTTTAAGAAATTAAACTTCATACACACCAATCCACTGAAACATCTCACCTCATGGAGGCCGTCAGTGGCCTGGGCTACTTTGTTTGTTTTTTCTTTTTGCTGTTGTTGTTGCTTTGTTTATATTAAACAATAAAAAAGAATTGCCAAAAGGAGTTACAAAAATTGTAGCATAATTTAAATGCAGGCATTTATTAAGTTAAAGCTTTTTAACATAATCCTAATGACATAGAGCCTATATATAAATCCATCTGGATACACTGCCTTAACTGAGGCATGCCCTGAGCATGACCTCCACTCCTAACCCCTGCCGCAGATTCCAAACCAAAGTCATTGATGATCTCACAACCACACGGACGCTTTAAAATTCTTAAAACACTTTAATTCTGCGGCATTTGCAATGGGATTTTTGGAAATTCTCTCTCTCTCGGGTTGGTACCTGTGAGACGTCACCTCCTGCTGTTTTCTCTTATTTTTGAGTGTCTGTTCTCTGCTGGTCCTTCATTCTCCACTTCTTTACATAATGGGTGTCTCAAGGTCTCCTCCTCGGCTCTCTTCTCTTGTACAACATGCATTCCATAGCAGTGGGTTCTTACAGACTGCGTGCTGCTTGGTTCAGTGTTCTGTTTTCCAATAAGACAGCACATGAGTTTAGGACAGAGCTGAAGTCATAAAGGAGGTTCCTGAGTGGAACTGCCTGTGGGCAGCCTGCCCAGCTTGAGCAGCACTCCTTACTGAGCAAGCCCATTCTGCTCTTTGGGTAATTTCAAAGATCAAAAAGTTCCATGATTGCCCTCATTGTTTCCATTTTGGGATTCTGGACCTATGCAGGGCAAACATAATTATATTTTCACATAGCACCCTTTAAAATATCGACTA